CCCCAGGGTTTTCCCCCCCCTTTTTTTTTTTTTTTTGTGGAGCCCCCCCCCCCCCCAAAGAGGGTGGGGGGGGGGGGGTTTTTTTTTTGGGGTTTTTTTTTTTGGGGGGAAATTTTGTTGGGGGAAAAAAAACGGGGGGGGGTTTTTTTTTTGTTTTTTTTCAAAAAAAATAATTTTGGGGGGGGGGGGGGGGGGGGGGGGGGGGGGGCTCAAGAGCTGCCGGACAGAGGGTGAGGTCAGTACCACTGGCGTGCGCGGAAGAAGCGAGAACATGGACGAGATCAATCAAATCCTTGTAGGGGGTCGGGGGGGCAAAGAAAGAAGCAAAAGCTACGTGAACAGGCCAGAAGGCGTTGAAGATGTCGCCCCTGCTGTTACTGGTGGTGGAGCACCTGTGTTTTTGCGTCATGGGGCCGTTTCAGCGCGCCGTTCCGTGCTGCACATGGCAGCCTCCGCCAGCATCCTTCGCGAGGTTTTTCTTATGACGTAAACATGTTGGATAAAGCGTATCATCGAGGAAGTTGGGTTGGGGTTAGGGAATAGGGTCTGCGCCCCTCTCCCTGTTCTATGTATCGCGCGAAGGCGGTCCGCCTCGGCGCCGTCGGATAAAGGCAGATCGATCGCCAAGCGTGTCGGTGGAGATTTTTTCACGAACCCTTGTCATGAAAAATCGTTCGTGCTCTGACAGGGCGGGTTGGGGGTCTTTCAAGACCCGTGTGTGCAGAATTTTGAGGGTGTCCGCTATTTTTTAGGAATTTTTTTGTTGGTCCTCATCATCACCCAACTCTCCCCCCTCATGTCACTGGCGTATCGTTTGGCGTATCGTTTTGTCACTCACCCTCAGTCGAGCCGCTTGACGTAGGCCGAGTCATATGTACGTCGAATCTCTTGACCTGAGTCAAGTTTATCTGCCTCGCGTCGAAAACACTTGGCGCTATGCCAACCTTTTCATTACCATCCCTTCCGAATTGGATACCCTGACCGGCAAACTGCTCTCCCCGCTCCGCTCCCTCGTTTTGTAACCATCTGACCTGTATCCCTGTCCTCCGCTATCTGGCCTGCCCCCCCCCCCCCCCGCGCCCTTTTGCTTGTCCCCCCCTCCCTTTTCGAACTGTGTCCTAGGGACCAAAGCCC